TTAAGCCAGAATGATTTGACATTTAAATATGATTTCCCTTCGAATTTAAATGTAATTAAATTTAAAAGGATTTTCTTTAACATCAACAGGGAGTTAGAAACAAACAGCGGTCCATAGAAAACATTATTTCTCCTTTATGGAATCATATTTTTATTTCTTTTTATTTGTACTACCAGAAATTAAACAAGGCTCCAAAGGTTCAAATTAACATTTTACTGTTGTTTTTTTTTTAAAGCAGTTGTTTTTTTCCGTTATAGTTTAACATAATCTCTCTGTATGTTTATGATGGGTCAGGATTTCCAAACTGTTATTAATTATTAACATTAATCTTATCTTCTATAGTGAATCTTGCCTGTTTACTGACTTTAAAACAGAATATTAATGACTTATTTTAATAATTAAGAACATATTATAGTGAATACTTCCCCTTTTCCCAGAATATAACAGGAACTAGTTTAATAATTTTAATGATTATTTCAGCTCATTTCCCTCCCAGACCAGCGGCTCGGTCCCTCCTCTCTCTGCCACGTCTGAACGCCAGCCTGCCGGCCGCACACGGCGGGCCGCGCCGCTACAACAATGAGCCGAGCCGCGGAAGGCCTTCCAACTGCGCTTTATCTCCAACAATTAAGAATTAATCACATAAAAGTGACGCAAGCATCGCCGGGAATCAGGCAGATGCGTTTTTCTCTTGTCGGACATTGTGAATAAACATGCTAACATGCTAACTAGCATTAGCAGCAGGCCTGTTCACGCAGACAATAAGGCCCGGGAAGGTGCTTCTCCTCCCGCCCGCCACCTCACCCGTTCTTCAGGTCCACTTCCAGAATCTTCCCGTAACCCTTGAAGAACCGCTCCACGTCCTTCTCCCTCGCCCTGTAGCTCAGCCGTCCGATATAAACCCGCGACATGTTGGGGATCCTGTTAGCTAACCGACAGCTGCCGAAAGAAAGAGAACCGCGAGCCGAAAGGAGGGCGCGCGACACGGACAAGCTCTGCTCTGATTGGCTGGTGAAGGACGAGGGGCGGGGCTTACAAACGTTTGTTTGGTGGAAAAGGTTTTAGTTCAAAACTTAGAAACGATAATTTATCGTTAAAATGATGGATTAGAT